AACACTTTATTTATTTAGGTCTGTGAGAAGAGTTCTCTGTGGAAAGTCCCAGGCCTTTGTTATTGGATTCCATGTTCATGTCTCCCAGTGGAAGTGATTGGCCAGTTAAACTCCGCTCCATACACCAGCATGATATGTCTCAGTCAACTTGTGGTTTGTGGAACAATGCCAACTCCTGATCATTGTTACTATGGGAACATAAATCAGATGGAACAGACATGAAGATCTAAGTGCATGTCCCCTCTCCTCTCCTACCCTCCCTAGAGTTCTTCACCATTGCCTTAACAGGGGCCACATACGAGTGGTTTGATACCTTTGGACAGAAAACTATTTTCTAAAGAATGATTATAAAGGCGTTATCTAAACTTACCTATAATCCAAACTCTCGGGACCTGGATTCTAAATGTTTTATGATACTTAAAATTGCAAGGCTAGGAAAGTGCTTCTTATGTTTGGCAGACAGGATGAAATAAAAAAAAAAAGAGAAAAAGTAGAAACGTATGCCCATGCAAAAGTCTATGTATAGTTTTCTGCTCCATTGTTAGCAGAAATACTACATTATTTACATTTTTAAACAAAAAAAAAATGTCTGAAAGTATTTTAATTGTATTTTGTGTGACTTTAAATTATAATTTATATTTGAATATGTTAACATCTCTTTCAGTCATGAATGTTTATAAATCACCTGCAGGCAAACCAGCACAAGCCTGGCAGGCCATGGGCACAGGGGTGACAGAGAATCTCCCCAGCCAATATGCAATAAGGTATTACGGCGGTAGACAGGTGTATATAAGTGGCAGTTTTTTCCTTAGTCTTCCCTCTTCCTGTGAGATAGTGCTTGATAGCTGCAATGTTTGAGGAGAAGTGTAACGATATCTTACCATGCGCGCCGACGTCATGTCAAAACTGCACCGCAAATTCAACCAATTCCACGATCCCTGACCTTTTGGGGGCGTGGATTTAAAGCTATAAGCACTACACTATAAAAGGGCACCTTTTATACTTGTTCAGCGCCCTATTGTGGTTCTTTCTTGGTTCCCTCTAGTGCTATTGAGATTCTCTATTGTATTTTCTGGTATTTTGACTTCTGGGTTACTCTTCCTGAGTATTCTCCTCTCTGGTATCCTGACTTCGGCTTGTTTATCTCGTGTGTCCGTTTTCGGTTATCACCTGACTCTCGGCTATCTCATTGACTATTCTTTAGCTTTTAACCCGGCCACTCTAAGGTCCAGTAATACGCTTCTTTCTAGATTTCACTCTGCGTGTTGGGGTCACTGTTGTGATATTACAATAGGGCCATGGACCCTGCAGGTGTTAATCTACATGGGCCGGTTCCTGACAACCGATTTGAGGAACTGGACCACCGTATGGACCAGTTTGCTATGGCTATGCAAACATTATTGGCCAGTACTGCCCATCTTCAACCAAATGAGCTAATTCCAGCTCCTATACCTAATGTACCACATATGGAGATAGCAGCAGTGGGTTCGTCTAACCACGCTACATCTCCTCTTCGTTATGGGGGCAACCCTAAGGGATGTTGTGGTTTCTAAATCAAGTGAGCATAAATTTTAAACTCCATCCCTGAGCCTATCTGACAAACAGGTAAAAAAAATAAGTTCCGTACACATGCTGCTGAGGTGAAATGGAATGAACAGGCATTTATAGACGTGTTCATGAATGGGCTCTCAGATAAAATATCGGATGAGGTAGCTACCAGAGATTTACCCAATTCTTTAGAGGAATTGATAACTTATCTAGCCCATATTGACGAATGCCTCAGGCGTAGACAAAGTACTAGGGATAGGCCTAGATGTATTTCTGAACTTTTGGCTTTAACCTTTCCTTCCTCGAAGGCAGCCACTGTCGCTCCTCCTGAACCTATGCAGTTAGGAGCCACTTGGTTGTCTGATGCTGAAAAACAATAGCGTATTGTGGGAAGAAGGGCCATTCACGCCTAGCCTGCCCCAGTAGGCCGGAAAACTCCAACATCTAAGTCCTCCAGGAGGACAGGCCTTGGGTGTAATGTGTATGTCCTCCTTTAATGAAAAAAAAGAACTAAGGCTTCTACTACCAGCAGTGGCGTACACACAACCCATGGGGCCCCGGTGCGAAACCTGATCCGTGCCCCCCCGCTATGTTTCACAGAGGGTTAATCCAGCCTCTGGTGGCTGTCTCATTGACAGCCACTAGAGGAGCTGCCGCGATTCTCACTGTGAAAATCACAGTAAGAAGACGCTGAACGTCCATAGGAAAGCATTGAGTAATGCTTTCCTATGGGCGGTTTGAATTCGCGCGTGGCTCTTGACATGCATGCGCATTCGGAGCTGAGGGGTGGAGGGAATCCGACGCTGGAGAAAGGTAAGTGCTTAAGACACACACTCTCACGAACAGACGCATACACACTAGCTAATAGACACACACACACTCTCACGAACAGACGCATACACACCAGCTAACAGACACACACATTTACAGACAGACACACACTCAGTGACAGACATACATACACACTCACTGACAGACAGACACATACACACTCACTTACAAAACACACACTAACAGATGCACACAAACTAACACACTCAGTAACAGACACACACAGTAACACACTCACTGACACACTCTAACACTAACACACACACACTCTAACACACTTACACACACACACACACAAACACACACACACACACTAACACACACTCTAACACTCACACACTCTAACACACTAACACACACACACACTAACACACACACACTCTAACACACTAACACACACACACACTATCACACACACTCTAACACTAACACACACACACACTAACACACTAACACACACACACTAACACACACACACACTCTAACATTAACACACACACTCTAACACACTAACACACACTATCACACACACTCTAACACTAACACACACACACACTAACACACTAACACACACACACTAACACACACACACACTCTAACATTAACACACACACTCTAACACAAACACTCTAACACACTAACACACACACACTAACACACACACACACACACTTTTTTTTAAAATGTAATCTCCCAGCCTCCTTACCTTTTGGAGAGCTGATGGGATTCCCTGGGGTTCAGTGGTGTCACCCAGCAGGCAGGCTGGCTGGAGCACGAGGGAGCACTCTCCCCTGAGTGCTTCATGTTCAGCTCCCTCGCGCGACCCCTGCGACCCCGGTATGTACGCCACTGACTACCAGTTATTCTGGAACACACTAACACACACACACACTCTAACACACACACTATAACACTAACACACACACTCTAACACACACTAACACACACACTCTAACACTAACACACACACTCTAACACACTAACACACACTATCACACACACTCTAACACACACACACACACACACACACACTAACACACACACACACACACTCTAATATTAACACACATACTCTAACACTAACACACACACTCTAACACACACACACTTTTTTTTTTAAATTTAATCTCCCAGCCTCCTTACCTTTTGGAGAGCTGATGGGATTCCCTGGGGTTCAGTGGTGTCACCCGGCAGGCAGGCTGGCTGGAGCGCGAGGGAGCACTCTCCCCTGAGTGCTTCCTATTCAGCTCCCTCACGCGACCCCTGCGACCCCGGTATGTACGCCACTGACTACCAGTTATTCTGGAATGGGAGAAACAGAATGTACAGACTACTGCTCTGACCGATTTTATTGATCTAAATTTTGGTCAGAAACATTCTCTCAAGATCAACACCCCTGGCCGTTGAGGCCATAGATGGTAGACCACTGTCTGTTCCTTTTATTACAAGAGAGACAAACCCCTTTGATTCTATCTGTAGGTACCCTGCAAAAGGAAATTATAATCCTACAGCAGATAACCTCTCCTACCTTTCCTGTCATTCTTGGTTTCCCTTGGCTCTCCAAGCATAATCCTAGGATAGATTGGGAGAGGCAAGAAATTATAATTTGGGGTGATTCATGTTTCAAAGGGTGTTTAACTCAAGTGAAGCCTGTAGGTTTGCTTAATATTCCTACTTTGAAACCCTTAACGACTCAAATACCTAAACCGTATCTTGATCTTAAGGCAGTGTTTGAACCCAAGGAGGCTGAAAAGTTACCACCTCATCATTCATATGACTGCGCTATCAACCTACTACCTGGTACTATGCCTCCTAGAGGTACTGTGTATCCCCTCACAGTTAATGAAAACAAGGCACTAGAAGAATACATTACAGAGAATCTAAGAAAAGGTTTTATATCTAAATCCTCTTCTCCTGCTGGGGCAGGTTTCTTTTTTGTTTCAAAGAAAGAGGGGGATTTAAGACCATGTATCGACTAGCGAGGTTTGAATAAAATAACCATACGTAACGCCTACCCAATACCTTTAATAACCAAACTATTTGATAATCTGGTCAGAATCAAGAACTGATGAATGGAAGACAGCCTTCAATACTCGTTATGGTCACTACGAATATAGGGTAATGCCCTTCGGCTTATGTAATGCCCCAGCAGTCTTTCAAGATTTCATGAATGATGTGTTAAGAGATTACCTACAAATGTTAGTAATCGTTTATTTAGACGATATATTGATCTATTCTAAGGACATCAAGGAGCATCATGATCATGTCAGATTGGTCCTTTCTAAATTATTGAAGAATGGACTTTATTGTAAGTTGGAAAGATGTATTTTTGATAAAGACGAGATACACTTTTTGGTGTACGTAATATCGGTTTCTGGTTTTCAGATGGAACCTAAAAAACTCGAGGCCATCATACATTGGCCCTTATCTATTGGTCTAAAAGCGATACAATGTTTTCTAGGCTTCGCCAACTACTACAGGAAATTTATCAAAGGATTTTCCTCTATTACCGCTCCTGTCACGTCCATGACAAAAAAGGGAAGGAATCACATAGATTGGAGTCCAGAAGCTAGGGATGCTTTTGAGGAGTTAAAGAAAGCTTTTTCATCAGCACCCATATTGAGACATCCCGATCCCTCTTGTCCTTTCTTGTTAGAGGTGGACGCATCTGAGACTGGTATAGGGGCTGTGTTATCCCAAAGACCCTCGGATGATCAACCTTTACATCCTTGTGGGTAATATTGGAAAAAACTGACAGAGACTGAAAATAGGTATGACATAGGAGATAGAGAACTCTTGGCAATCATTTTGACCCTCAAAGAGTGGCGACATGTGTTAAAGGGGTCTGTTATACCGATTACCATACTTACTGATTATAAGAACCTTTCCTATTTCGGGGAAGCAAAAAGAATGACAGACAGACAAGTTCGTTGGTCCTTGTTTTTAACACGTTTTAATTACATTGTGACATATAGACCTGGATCTAGAAATACTAAACCTGATGCCTTATCCCGACAATATGAACATCAATCCTCTACCGAAATTCAAATATCATCCATAATCCCAGCCGATCACATTGTATCCGCTATCCAAGATAAAATCTCCTCTGGCTTATTGGAGTATTTATCCAAACTCCAACATCACTCTTCTTTGCCCATTCCCCGGGGAAAGTTATTTGTGCCTCTTGTTCATAGGAAAAAGGTCTTGTCCTTGATGCACAATTCTAAAATAGCCAGTCATCCAGGTATCCATAAAACTGAATCACTTCTTGAAAAGCAATTTTTGTGGCGTTCTTACAAAAAAGATGTCAGGGAATTCATTCTTGCCTGTAATATCTGTTCGTCTACTAAAATGCCTAAAAGTCGTCCGTGTGGCCTTCTCATGCCATTACTCATTCCTGATAAGCCTTGGTCTAGTATTGCCATGGATTTTATAGTGGATCTGCCTACCTCCAGAAACAACAGTGTCATCCTGACTATCATTGATAGGTTCTCTAAAATGACACATCTTGTTCCTTTATTCAAATTGCTGTCTTCCTCTGAACTGGCCACCTTGTTTATAAGAGAGGTAGTTCGATTACATGGCATGCCAAATGATATAACTTCTGATAGGGGTCCACAATTTATTTCTCGGTTTTGGAGGGCATTCTGTAACCAATTGGGTATTCACCTTAATCTTTCTTCTTCGTATCATCCTCAATCTAATGGCGTTACCGAAAGGATGAATCAATCACTCGAACAATATATACGCTGCTTTACTTCCAATCATCAAGACGATTGCGTGGAATTACCTCCTTGGGCTGAATTTGCCCACAACATCCTGATTCACTAATCTACGCAACACAGTCCCTTTTTTATCAATTATGGCTTTGACCCTACTTCTCTTCCGAGTTCCCTTTCTTCTACTAGAGTGCCAAGTGTTGACAGCACTATGAAAAGTATTAGGGAAACTTGGTCAGGGGTCAAACAAATATTGGTTCAAAGGGCTAAGACACAAAAGTTTAATGCGGATAGATATCGTAGAGCTGCGCCTACTTATGTTGCGGGTGACAAGGTGTGGTTGAGTACTCGTAATATCAAACTGAAAGTTCCCTCGATTAAATTTGCTCCAAGTTATATCGGCCCTTACAAAATACTCGATTGCATTAACCCAGTCTGTTACAGGTTGCTCTTGCCTGCCTCTATGAAGATACTGAATGCCTTTCATGTTTCACTCCTTTAACCTTTGGTATGTAATCGTTATACCAAAAGACATTCCAAACCCCCTTCAACACTCGTGGATATTCGGAACGAATATGTAGTAAAGTCAGTTTTAGACTCCCGTGTTTCTAGGGGAAGATTCCAATATCTGTAAGATTGGAAAAGGTATGGTCCCAAGGAGAGGTCATGGGTGGATGCCTCTGATGTCCATGCTTCTCGTTTAATTTGTTCTTTTCGTAGACGTTGTTCTCGTGGGTCCGGTCCTCCCCGCCAAGTGGATGGTTCTCGAGGGGGGGTACTGTAACGATACCTTACCTTTCTCCTCCGGACCCGCGCGGCATGGCTTCCTCTTCCGTCGCTTCCGGGAGGGGCCGTAGCCTGTCTGACACTGGCTGCTCCAAACACGCCCCTTCCTGTTATGTCAAAACTGCAGAGGAAATTCAAATGATTCCACGCTCCCTGACCTTTTTGGGTGCATGGATTTAAAGCTATAAGCACTACACTATAAAAGGGTCCCTTTTACACTTGTTCAGCGCCCTATTGTGGTTCTTTCTTGGTTCCTTCTAGTACTAATGAGATTCTCTATTGTATTTTCTGGTATTTTGACTTCTGGCTTACTCCTCCTGACTATTCTCCTCTCTGGTATCCTGACTTTGGCTTGTTTGTCTCGTGTGTCCGTTTTCTGTTATCCCCTGGCTCTCGGCTATCTCATTGACTATTCTTTAGCGTTTAACCCGGCCACTCTAAGGTCTGGTAATACGCTTCTTTCTAGATTTCACTCTGCGTGTTGGGGTCACTGCCGCGACAAGAAGAAGAGCATGGTGCTACTTCCTGCTGCTTCCCGCATATGCCTCTCATAATAAAGCTGTTTTGTCTACCTCAGGGTATGTGGCAATTATTGTCTCTGGGTACAAAGATATGAACTGCCCATAGTTCCAGGGCCAATAATTGCCTGTTGGTACATGAGTAATTGAGTAATAACTGTCTTTTGTACAGAGTCAATACGTGTTTCTGTATAGAGAAGGGATAACTGTCTCTTGAAATGTATGTATTATACTATTTTTACTCAGTTTTAAATATTTTATTCCGTTTGAAATATTTTTATGATTATGATATGATTCATGCTAATTTTATGTATTTACTATGAAGATTCATGATCTTCTTATTTGATATGGTTCATATAATGCAGCTTTTATTACTTCTTTGTTCATTAATTTTTTTTTAATATTTTATTTGGTTTTCTCAATAACAATACAAAAATATACAATTTACTGACAAATATTCAAACAGAAGATGATTATAACATATCATCCAGTGTTACATATAAGACATAAAAACATACAAACACAATCTAAACAGCGTGTTTATGATTTATAGCTTTTACCCTAACCAGGAGTTATTATCCTTATCTTAAAAATTCATTATTTGTTGATACATGTGTCAATCATTTGACTGATAAAGGTCTTTCAAGGATCTTAATCCATTTATCCCAAATTTTATATTTCTCCTTACTAATACAGAGGTTAGAAGATATTCCTCTTCCCATCTTACATTGATGAATAATGGCTTCTTTACATTGTTGCCATGAATCTATCATCGTCTTTTTCCAATTCCTGGCAATAGACAATTTAATAGCCATCAATGCGTGGATTAAGAAATATTTCTCATCTTTCGCTAGTTGTGGTAATTTTAGATGTAGCAGTACCATTTTTGGTGCCCAATTTTGTGTAATGCCCAATATTTTATTAATTTCAACTAAAAAACAATCCCAAGCTCTCCTTAACAGTATACCGTTCCACCATATATGCAATTCATCAGCATCTTCTGCACCACACCTCCAGCACCCCTGACTATCAGTATTTGAAAACCTTTGTATCTTTGCCGGTGTCATATACCATCTATTTACTTTGTTAATTAATTTTAATTTAGTTTAGCATGATCCAAGATAGATAGATGACTACTAAAATGTCACTGGCAATTTTCAAGATATTTCAGAAAAACTTGTAGCAAATTGATTTATGTATAGTATATTCACTTTTTTTTTTTTTGCTTTCATCTTCATCTTTTGAAATCACTATTTTTCACAACACTTTACATTTTCTGCATGGAACATTCATAAGCATAGCTATGACAAAGCACAGAGAGGTGGAATTGTTGTCATCGTCCATCACTAGACAGCTGAATAAACCTGCCTGATAACTGTTTGAGCTATGGAGTGTTTAGCAAATTTATCAGCTACTTTGAGGGACTGTGTGTTGGACAGCAGAGACACGCATGGGTCATGAATGTAGGAGTGTAAAAGGGTGTTTTGGTGGTTCAGTTGCCTACAGTGGGCTGTTGTGTGCCTGTCCTGCCTTTATACTAATACATTTTAGAGTTGCATATTCCATTAAAAATGGCAATAATAGAAACATCTAGGAGTAGCTTATCATGAAAATAGAAGTAGGTTCATTAAATTCCTTGTGATAGCTTGCTCCTACACATGGTTGACTTTGCCTTCATGTAGAATTTAACAGGTCCATAAAATATGATTAAAGCCTGATATCTAGAGTTGAGCGGACACCTGGATGTTCGGGTCCGGCAGGTTCGGCCAAACTTTGAAAAAAAGTTCAGGTTCGGGCTCGAACTTGACCCCAATCCTGAACCCCATTGAAGTCAATGTGGACCCAAACTTTTGGCCACAAAAATGCCTCTAAAAACCCTCCTGGAAAGGGCTAGAGAGCTGCAAAATGAAGTAAAATGGGGGTAAGAGTAGGACAAGTGCCCTGCAAACAAATGTGGATAGGGAAATCACTTAAAATAACATAAAAATTTTAAATACAGCTGAGCCATAAAATAGCACTAGATGGAATCTTTGATTTTAGCTTTGGAAGAACATAAATCAAAATCTAAAGCATGGCTGCCAGAAGGATCAACAGAATTATCCATTTAAGAGAGGGTTGGAGTGCAGGGTATTCTCTTTCATTGTTCAAACTGAGCTCAACTCCTGATGCATGGAGAAAATGCCTTCACAAGCCCCTGCTAATGTGCACCTAGTTTATACTAAGTGACCCATAGGTTGAGGAGGCAGTGACCGTGGCGGTGGAGGAGGTAGCCAACACTGTATTTTATGTTTTGTAGCCCACAAAATATTAGGACATACAAATAAAGAAACATTTGCGGCATGCGGTGCATTTCTTGCAGTCCTGATGCATGGAGAAATGCTCAACTCCTGATGCATGGAGAAAAGGCCTTCACAAGCCTCTGCTAATGTGTACCTAGTTTATACTAAGTGACCCATAGGTTGAGGAGGCGGTGACCGTGGCGGTGGAGGAGGAGGATGAGATAGCCAACACTGTATTTTCTGTTTTTTTTATTTTTATTGTGGTAGCCCACAAAATATTGGGACATCCAAATAAAGAAACATTTGCGGCCTGCGGTGCATTTCTTGCAGTCCTGATGCATGTAGAAATGCTCACCTCCTGATGCATGGAGAAAAGGCCTTCACAAGCCTCTGCTAATGTGTACCTAGTTTATACTAAGTGAGGAGGTTGAGGAGGCGGTGAGGAGGTCGAGGAGGCGGTGACCGTGAAGGTGGAGGAGGAGGATGAGGTAGCCAACACTGTATTTTATGTTTTTTTTAAATTGTGGTAGCCCACAAAATATTGGGACGTACAAATAAAGAAACATTTGCGGCCTGCGGTGCATTTCTTGCATTCCTGATGCATGGAGAAATGCTCACCTCCTGATGCATGGAGAAAAGGCCTTCACAAGCCTCTGCTAATGTGTACCTAGTTTATACTAAGTGACCTATAGTTTGAGGAGGCGGTGACCGTGGCGGTGGAGGAGGAGGATGAGGTAGCCAACACTGTTTTTATATATATATATATATATATATTTATATATATATATATATATATATATATATATATATATTTTAATTGGGGTAGCCCCCAAAATATTGGGACATATAAAAAAAAGACAAATTTCAGAGTAGCTGTTGACATTATAGTTGCGCAGGAACTTTGTTGACTCTAGAGAACCTCGGGCAAATCGCATATCCCCGTGGCGGCGACTTTGCATGCGGATGTCATTTATATCAACTTTCGATGCCAGTTTCTGCACCTACCATGGTGACCACGGGTAACGGGGAATCAGGATTCCATTACGTACAGGGACCCTGAGAAATGGCTACCACATGCAAGTAAGGCAGCAGGCGCGCAAATGACCCCCTCCCGACGCGGGAAGGTAGTGACAACAAATAACAATACAGGACTCTTTAGAGGCCCTGTAATTGTAATGAGTCCACTTGAAATCCTGTAACTCTGATCAATTGGAGGGAAGTCTGGTGCAGGGCCACTAACCCGTGCGTGCTGCAGCTGAAACTCCACTATCGCCTGCTGCTGCTCGCAAAGTCTCATGAGGAGGTGAGCGGGAAGGCCGAAGTTGCGCTGCAGTGCAGACAGGCGAGCAGCAGCAGGGTGACAACGCCAAAAGTGCACACAGCTGCTACAGTGAATGTCACATCCTGACAGTGTCTGGGTCCTGGTCACAGGACTGCCCACCTCACTGTGAAACTACGAATGGATCGTTAAATCTGGTACGAACCCGAACTTTGAAGTTCGGGTTCGCTCAAGTCTTTTATGGATCCTTTGATCGCTACATGTATTACTTGGATAACTGGTAATTCTCGAGCTAATACATGCCGCTCCGCTTTTGCACCCTGCTCCCTCTTATGCTGTGCTGGTGCCTCCATGCCACATCGCCTCTTCCTCCAAATGGCACACGTCACTCGCATGACCTTGATTCCATGTGAGGTCTAGGACCTCATCATCCTCCACATCATCTTCCACCCACTCCTCAACCCTGCACTCCTTGCCGGTATGCACACTGCAGAAAGCCACAGCAGTTGGCACCTATGATTTTCCAGCATGTAAAATCTGCAAAGGACATATGGAAATTGTTTTAGAATTTCCTCCAGGCAACAGTTTTATTTCAAAACTCCGATGTAACCACGGTATTTAGAGCTTCTATTTGACTCTCAGATATGAAGTGCACCCCACCCCACTAATGTGCTAGTTTGCAGAATTCTTTCCTAAGCTGTCCCTATCAGCGGCAGCATCCTCTCCCTACACTAATAAGACCGCATGTGCGTGTGGCGCTACGCGACTCCAGCTTATATATAGAGTCTGTGTCACATGCTGCACTGGCCAATCACAGCCATGCCATTAGTAGGCATAGCTGTGATGGCTTCTAAGGGCACACGAGTCAAACACTTATTGATTGGCTGCCCTGCAGCCTTTGAAAATGTGCCATTAAATCACAGAACACCGAACTCCAACAAGAACATACAGTGATATGTCTGATTTCGGGTCGGGGGTCCAAAAATCCTAATGTCCGGTACGAACCCGAACTTTTCAGTTCTGGTTCGCTCAAGTCTACTGATATCCCTATGTTACTATAGATCCAATGTTAATAGAATTTAGCAGCTGTATATCACTATAAAGTGTTCAATGACTATTAGTGCAGATTAGGTTTACAAGGTTAAACCATGCCAAGCTTCTCCTGGTGGGTAGTATTTTGTAAAACCTACCCTTTAACAAAATGTTGATAACCCTTTTTGCTGACATCTCCTGTTTCCTCAGAACTACCAAAGTTATAGGGCACCTGTGAATAAGGAACTTTCTTTAAAAGGTTCTTAAAAATATATAACCTTTGTATATTTTTCTAGAAACTCTTCCCACCCTTATACAATACGAATCTGACCTTGAGAATCTGTCACTTCATTCTGAGAATCTAACATCTTGAGACCCTTGAAAAAAACTTTCACTTTCATGGTCCTGTCTCCCATTTCTGAATTCTAACTATTTATCTCTTGTGTGGCCCCTGCTATTATCCAACAAGTTCTAAGTTCAGTGTGCCTTTTTCAGAAGAGTCACCACCCCCCTTTCCTAGGGTTTATCCACCAAAAACAAAGTGGCGGCCTGCAGCATTTATCTGGTCTATATCAACCTTCTGTCAAAACAATAACATTCTGTTGGCAATTATATAGCATCACATGAAAATCACAAACCTAGCGAAATGTGCCCAGCAAGTACCTTTCTAGCCAGGAGAATCTTTAAGCAGAGGAAAACAATAACAGGGCTCCAAGGACCTCCTTAATGAAAGCCCCTTTTATATTGGGATGCCATGTTTCAAATCTAAGTATTTGTCTGATTTGGACTAGATTTCAGTACTTGAGGTCCTCTCACCTGCACGTAATATAGACTAGAGAAAAATCATTGTACAGAGTTTTATTTTTCTTAACAACAGAGTTTATTTTCTTTTGTTAATTTAACGATGCACTTGGTTGCATTTCTGGTGGAACCAACTATAAATGTGGTGTAATATATTTGAGGATGAGTTTGGATCTACTTTAGATCTACAGTATATACTCGAGTATAAGTCTAGTTTTTCAGCACATTTTTTGAGCTTAAAAACCCCCACTCGACTTATATTCGAGTCACTGTCTGTATTATGGCAACTTAGAGAGCCGCAGCCGTCAGAGCCATGGCAACGATCCGCGCAGCAACCAGACCGCGAGACTTACAGTGGAGCTGACCGGAACGGAGGAGAAGGGAGCTGACAGGAGCTGCAGGAAAGGTAAGTAAATGCTTCCTGCCGGCCCCCCGACTTCACAGCCCATGCCACTGGACCACCAGGGATTAAGATAGCCCCCCTCCCTGACCAGTTAACAAGCAGGGAGGGGGGACAATTTTTTTTTTAAATAATAAAAATAATAATAATATTAAAATTTAAAAAAAAATAAAATAATAAAAATGCCCTCCCCCCACCTAGTTCACACACACTACACAAACACACACTCTGCATTATATACACACTCTGCATTATATACACAGAGTGTGTGTATATAATGCAGAGTGTGTGTTTGTATGAGTGTGTGTGTGTATATAATGCAGAGTGTGTGTTTGTATGAGTGTGTGTGTGTATATAATGCAGAGTGTGTGTTTGTATGAGTGTGTGTATATAATGCAGATTGTTTGTATGAGTGTGTGTATATATAATGCAGAGTGTTTGTTTGTATGAGTGTGTGTGTATATAATTATAAAAATCACAGAATTTCATAGCCCCAAGTTTTACCCTCGACTTATCCAAGAGGCACAGCATATTTCACAATTGTTGGTCACAAAACTGCACTCGACTTATACATGAGATCGACTTATACACGAGTATATACGGTAAATCATCAAAAGAATATCATTCATCATATAATAGCAATTAATTTCTTATGCACATTCAATGATAATTTTATAAGGTATAATAATTTATTGACATTTGTACTAAATTAATGAATTCCATGACCAGTCCTATACCTATATATTTACACCTTAATTGATGACTGCTAAGAACCCATAGAAGCTACCTGGATAACTTAATATATTATAAGTGCGTGTTTATGTAATACACAGATAACATATACCATGAAACAAAACACTTTCTTCCAGCACCACTGCACACTCCTTACTGGACTTCCTGTATTAGTGCCTTGTTTACCTCTCATTTCTCATTTGCTTATTTTTCAAGCCAGGATGGCATCCAGAGGCAAAATTAGAAACCACCCAACCATGGTGCAAAAATTACCCAGGGGCTCCCCCCCATGTGTCTCATCCCCACGCAGCCCCTCCATGTGTCTTATTTTCTCCCAGCCATCCATGTGTCTCATTCTCCCCCCCCCCAGTTCCTACATGTGTCTCACCCCACCAACTCTTTTATGTGTCTAACCCCACCATCTCCTCCATGTGTCTCATTCACCCCCCCAGTTCCTACATGTGTCTCACCCCACAATCTCCTCCATATGTCTCATCCCCCCAGCTCCTCTAAGTGTCTCACCCCACCATCCCCTTCATGTGTCCCATTTTCCCTATGCCTCTCCATGTATTTCACCCCCCCAGCTCCTACATTTGTCTCACACCCCATCCCCTCCATGTGTCTCATCCCCCCTAGCTCCTCCATGTGTCTCATCCCAGCAGTCCCCCCATGTGTCTCATTCTCCCTCAGTCCCCTGTGTGTCTCATTCCAACCATGGGCTCAATCTCCCCAGTCGGACTATGTATCTCTCCCTTCTCACATGTTTAATTCCTCCTTTCTGTGTGTCTCAATTCCCCCCAGACCCTCCATGTGTCTCATTTCCCCCCCAGTCCTTTCATGTGTCTCAATTCCCCCCCCGCCCTTTCCATGTGACTCAATTCCCCCCCGCCCTTTCCATGTGACTGAATTTCCTCCCTGTCCACTCCATGTGTCTCAATTCCCCTACAGTCCCTTCCATGTGCCTTAATCCCCCCATACCTTCCATGTGTCTCAACTCCCCCCCGTGCCTTCCATGTGTCTCAAATCCTCCTCACAGGGGCGTACCTAGAGCATTTGGCACCCGGAGTGGGTCCTATTTTTGGCACCCGCCCTCCCCCCCTCAACTTTAAAGGTAAAAAACTACCAAAAATATTTTAAATGTATTTAGCACTGAGTAGTGTTTGTGTGTGAATGTATGCATGTTTTTGTATGGAGTATATGTGAGTGAATGTAGTGGTGTGTTTTGAATGCAAGCATGCATTTGTGTGTTGTGTGGTATTTGAATGCAGTGATGTGGTTATATATAATGGTGGGGTTTGTATGTAGTGTTGATGTTGAAATGCATGAGTGTATTTGTGTGTAGTGTTGGCGGGATTTTGAGATGTCTACACATATACACATACATGGACATACACACATGCAGATACATATACACACACGCAGAAACACTGTGCTCTGCATGCTGGCATCTGACAACACATTTGCAAATAATAAGGGAACTATCTGCTAAACAGCACCCTCATTTGGTATCTTTAACTATGGAAATCTCGCATATGGGCACCAATTCAGGAAATTATATACTAAACAGCTAAAGGATCGAAATTAAAAAAGCTCTTTTCTTATTTTCAGTTGTTTAGTAGATAAATCCCTTATTTGTTATCCTTATATTAGATTGCAATATTTAAGGACACCAAATAAGGGAGCTAGCTACTAACCCCTTAAGGACGGGTGACGGACGAGGTCCGTCACAGAGGGGAGACCCTTAATGACGAGTGACGGACCTTGTCCGTCACGCGGTAAAATTAACCCCGGATCGCCGCTATCACGGCGATCGCGGGGTTAATGGTGCTCGGGTATGCCTCTGCATTAGAGGCATACCGGGAGCACCCGGTCAGGCTGCCCAGCACATGTGCTCGCTCTGACCGCAAGTCAGAGTGAGCACATGTGCTCTGTATACTCATCTTCCGCCTCCCTGCACTTCCTGGTTCTGTGTGAAGTGCAGGGAGCCGGAACAGTGCTGATCCTGCCCCCTGCTGTAAAAAAAAAAAGTTAATTTAAAGTCCCACCCCCCCTTTTACCCATTTTAATAAAAAATTAATTAATTAAAATATTTTAAAATTATATATTTAGCTAGCTCGGGTGGGTGGAAGTTAGTGGGGAATTGGGGGAATTGGCATTAGTCTAACTAGGGGTTAACGTTAAAAAAAGTTTTAAAATAAACTTTAAAAAGTTAAAAATTAAGCTTAAAAAAAGTTTTAATAACGTTTAAGTAAAAAATACAAAAAACACCCCCTTTACCTAGTCCAAATAAAAATTAACCCCTTCCCTGCCAGTCGATCACTGCCTACAGCGATCAAATACAGATCATAGTATTATACTGTGATCTCATTTTTTTTAACCCCTGAGAATTAACTTTTATTTATTTTTTTAACCCTCAGGGGTTCAATTTATTTAATTAATTAATTAAAATATTTTATAACTATATATTTTGCTACCTGGGGTGGGTGGGAGTTATGGGAAAATGAGGAATTTACTGTTAGTGCTGCTTACTGCTAGTTAGGGGTTAACGGTAAAAAAAAAAGCTTAGAAAAATTTTAAATCTGTAAAAAAGTTTTAAGAAAGTTTAGGAAAGTTTAAAAAAAATTAATAAGCAAAACAAAAGTTTAAAAACTAGTTTTTAAAAGTAAAAAAGTTAAAAAGAGTAAAAAAATACATTTTAAAAATGTTCATTACCACTACACCTGGAACAAACTAGAGAAAAAATTATCCCACGCCAAGGTTCAAAATATGCCTTTTGAATTACCCCAGAATGTATGCTTTAAAAAATAGTATGTGTTTGTGGGGAAGTTTCAATAACCAACCGTCTAAACTACTCCAAATTGGAACATGGACACAGCGTAAAACTTCAAAGTTAGAAAAAAACTGAATGGCTGCATCTCAAATGCGCCCCTTCAACATCCACATATACCTGGCAAAGGTACATACGGGGGTATTGCTGTACTCAGCCAACATAGCTGAGCAACATATGAAGTATTATACAATCATAGCACACATAAGGTTTGCAAAATATGCTGCGCAAACTCACTTTGTATGTCAAAAAGGCAGAAAAAATGCTTATTACCACTACACTTGGTACAAGCTAGCGGACAAATGATCCCACGCTAAGGTTCAAAATAGGCCTTTTGAAACACCCTGGGATGTCTTCTTTAAGAAATGGTATGGCTTTATGGGGTATTTGGATTATATAGCCTGGCAAAATACTCTAAAATGGGACATAGGCACAGCATAAAAATTCAAAATTTGAAAAAAAACTGGAATGACAGTATATTTCTGGCATTATAGTATCCCTTTAATGTAATTGTTCTGGTGTCTACAGCCTGTCCTTGAAGGCTTTTAAATGTAAACACTGCAATGTTTTGCCGCACACATGCAATAGCCTCCCACTGCTTTCCTATAAAATGCCAATTGATGTAACTCAAATTTAAATAAAACACTAAAACAATTAATTATTAGATTTTTTAAAAGGAAGCTATACAAATAATTGCTGTTGTGTATTTTATCTTTCAAATAAACTTGATGCTATGTTTTAAGGAAAATAACTTGTAAAGGGATTAGTAGACCCCCAATATTAATTAACACAAGCTATTCCTACACACCATTTGCTGACTCAATTACTTGATTCTAGACTTCTGCATGCTCTCTTTTAATCGAGATAAAATGTACTCATCATAGTATAAAGAATAAAAAACAATCAGTAGTTACATATTTTTGGTGTAATGCTGGTTCTCCAGAAACAACAAAGTATCAAAAGTAATCCCATGATTGTGAGAAAATATGCATGTATGTGGGCGGTGTCACCCTTATATAAAAAAAAAAGTGTTTTAATTTTATAAAACATTTTTTTTTACTTAGTGCGTAACATATTAAAATTGTAGTATATTGATAGAACTTGTGTTAAAAAAACAACAACCCTATTTGAGGAGGCTTAGTTAGGTATGAAGATCACTGGTATGAATGACAAGCAAAACTTGTAAATCTAACATACAATATTTTTTTTCTTTCAGCGAGTAATTACACGAATAATCAAAAATAGCCAGACAAAAGATCCAGCATCTATGCTCCCACCCCACTAAAACCACTAGTCAATCTAAAAAGAGGCACCAAATGTCATGCAAAGTTCTTACTGACCCACCTCAAGTTGAGCCTGTGCCTACAGTCGTCTGTTACTGCTGCAAAATGTAAACTGTTAGCATGTAATTCACATATTGTATATATCTTTCTATCTCTCCCTATAACTCTTTGTCTCTCTTTCTCTTTCATATATATGCATTTAATTTTTTTTTATTTGTTTTCATTTTATATAAACTTCTCCTTTATGAAAAAGTTACTGTTATCATGTGCATTACCACCTATAAGAAAATATTAAATAAACTGCTTAAAGAGGCATTTTAGGTTGGTCCAAAAGTAGCGGTCACAAACCGCAGAAGAGTACAACAGTTTGATTGTGATCTGAGTTTTGCTAGAATACCTCTTGTGATTTTGCATTTTTGCTTTATTTTTTCATCTAATTAATTTGTTATTAATTTGTTTGAACCAATGGGTAAGTGTTATTGTTTTTGGTGTTTAATTATTGTTTAAGTAATGCAGTTATACAATTATTGTATCATGTTCTTTGGTATAAATGAACTTGACAAAGGCTAATGTAGGCTAAAACATCGGAATCTGTTGGCGCTACATAAATGGCAATATTAATAATAATAATAATTAACCCCTTAAGGACTGGACTGTTTTTGCGATGTTGTACATTTGCGACCAGGCATATTTTTACACTTTTGTGGTGTTTGTGTTTGGCTGTAATTTTCCGCTTTCTCATTTACTGTTCCCATACAAATTATATA